ATTGTACCGAAATCATTTTTCTAAAATATTATCTATATTTAAACCCCATGCCTCTCCACTTTCTCCTCCACATTTGAACATGGCCAACCCAAAACACTCACCCTCCGTCCTTGTTCTCTTTTTAGTGCTCCTCCTCCTCTCCATCGCTGCCAGCGTCGCCAACTCCGACGTCTTTTCCAAAAGCCTCTCTCCTTCTGCACTCGAACTCAAGCACGAGAAACTCACCCACCTCCACTTTTACTTCCAAGACATACTCTCCGGCAAAATCCCCACAGCCATCCGTGTCGCTCAAGCACCAACTACTAACACCTCCTCCACCTTCTTCGGCGCCGTGAATATTATAGACGACCCTTTGACCGTTACTCCCAACATCAACTCCACCCTTGTAGGAAGAGCTCAAGGGCTTTATGCATTGTCGTCGCAAGAGGAAGCTTCCTTGATGATGGTAATGACCTTTTCCTTCTTGGAAGGGAAATACAATGGGAGTACTGTAAGTGTGTTGGGGCGGAACCCGCCGTTTAACAAGGTGAGGGAGATGCCGATTGTCGGCGGCAGCGGGATTTTCCGGTTTGCTCGTGGGTATGCTCAGGCGAGGACTAATACCTTTAATCTCACTACCGGGGACGCTTGCATTGAATATAATGTTTATGTTCTCCATTACTGATTAATTTATTTACTTTGACGGTTTCATTGTTGCTTTTGGTCTGTTGGCTTTGTGTATGCTTGCATTTTACTGCTTTGGTTTTAATCTTTGGGAATAATGATGATGCAATAAAATATGAGAAATGTTTTGTCCAATTTCATTTGGTTAGCTCATTCACAAGGAGCTTTGTTCATTAAAGAAATGATCTTACTGTCACTTACCCCCAAAAAATAAAAAATAAAAAATAAAAGGATCTTACTGTCGAAATGAAATTGGGCTTATCGCCGATTGTAGGGATAATATAAAGCCCAAGAGAGTAAGATACAAAACTAAAAGTAGTCCAAAGCTCAAACCCGTAAATATCCCATACCCGCAAGAAACCCAAGAAATCAGCTATAAAATCAAACAGCTTAGGGTTTTAAGAGCTGCCACACAAATCCTCTTCTTTGAGAACCAGCGAGGGAGGAGAAATCCAGAGGAACAATGCCGGCCGGTCATGGTCTCAATAACCCGATTTTCTCTGCTTCATGCACACTATTGGTTAGCCAGAAATAGGAAAAACGCAGCAAAATCCAGCAAAAATCCATTTGTTGTAATTCCTAAAAACCAACCTTATCCTCCTCCATATGACAGGGTCAAACTCTCTTTAAATTAAAGATCAAAGCTCCAACTTCTCAAAGAATTAAAAACTTGATGCCTAATAAAATAACAACCCATGTGATTTAAATAAATAAAGTCCAAAAGTATTAGAATTATACTCTCCTTTGGGTTATATAATTCATCTTAATCCAACAAACTCTCCACTATCAAATCCACTTCCAAAATAAATAAATTCTTTAGACTTAATAAAAATGTTAAAGATTCCAGCACAGTCAAAATAATCCATACTAGCCCAAGGCGACATAAAATGAACTCCATTATATATACCATATCACAATCAAATAATTTATAACAAATCAAGAAAAATTAATGGTTATTCAATCTTTATAGGGACACATGACATCATCTCAAAAAATTGCTAATTATGGTGTAAACAAAGAGTGTCTTGTTTTGTTGTTTTCATTGCATTAAACTACAAAATAGAACCGATCTCACCTCTTATTTAATGATTTAAATTATACAATTTAATGATTTAAATTATACAATTTAATATAGTTTAGACTCTACAATATTTTTTTATATAATAATAGCCATATGTGTAATTTTCATTTTTTTTACCACAACTTCTATAATTTAAGGTTATTTTGGTATAATTGCTCAAATGCAACTTTATTATAGCTTGATAGTTCACATCATAGGATTATTAATTATTTTTATTCATAATATAACAAAAAGATGTTTTACATGACAGATTATATATTAAAAGTATAATTTGTCTTATAAATTTATTAAAATATTTTTAATGAAACCCTTTCTCATGCTATTTCATTAAAGGTATTTTAATAAATTCATAAAATAAGTTGTACTTTTAAAGGTATTTTAATGTACATTTTAGGATTTGAGGTTATAAAAAATTAAAGGTAAAATCCTCAATTTGGTCCCTGACCTATTTTATGGACCCACAATTTGATTTCTAAACTATTGTACGGACCCCTCATTTGGTCTCTATTGTTTACTAATTTGCCTCAAATTGGTCATTTCGTACAAAAAAAAAAAAACTAACGTGTCCATTGCTTAATGGCGAAAAACAGTAACTTAACGACCATGTATCACATTAACAACAAGACATGTCAGTTTGTTTTTGTATGGAATGACCAACTTGGGGTAAATTGGTAATAGTAAGGACCAAATCGGAGGTTTGTACAATAGTTTAGGGACTAAATCAGGGATATTTTTAGTTTAGGGACCAAATCGAGGGTCCGTACAATAATTTAGAAACCAAATTAAGGTCTTAACCAAAATTAAAATATTTTAATAATTAAAATATTAGTATAATAATACAAAATTTAACTACTTTTAGTAAATCAACACTAAAAAAATTTATTAAAAACATTTAAATAATTTTACAAGTAATCTTAACATTTTTAGTTTTCTATTAAAATTATGTCATAATGGTTCGTTTGGTATACAATTGTTATCACCTCTTGTACAAAAGTTGAGGTAAAAACCAACATTTAGCCCCTCACTTTACAAAATTGATAGGTTTTAGCCCCTCACCTTATAACATGACAGTTTTAGCTTTTTATCTTACAAAGTTGATAAGTTTTAGTCCCTCACCTTACAAAGTTGGTAGATTTTAACCCCTTATTTTATAATATGATATTTTTAGCCCTTCATCAATACGAATTAAAGAAAATAACCCTCACCTAACATCAGGTTATAACATTTTGTTAGTTTTGTTAGTTGATTGTTAACATCCGTTAGCATTCTGTTATAAAAAACATGAAATTTAAATTCAATTTTATTTGTTAGTTTTATTAACAGAATACTAACGGATGCTAACAATCAGCTAACAGAACTGACAGTCAGTTAACAAAACTAATAGAACATTATAACCTGATGTTGAATAAGGGCTATTTTCTTTAATTCTTATAGATAATGGGCTAAAAGTGTCATAATATAAGGTGAGGGGCTAAAACCTACCAATTTTGTAAGGTGAGGGGTTAAAACTTACCAACTTTGTAAGGTAAAGGGCTAAAAGCGTCATATTATAAGGTTATGGGCTAAAACTTACTAATTTTGTAAGGTGAGAGGCTAAAAGTTGGTTTTAGCCGAAAGTTGAAGGGCAATAACAAAGAAAATAGGTTAAATCTCCAATTTGGTCCCTTAACTATTGTATGAACTTTTGATTTGGATCCTAAACTAAAAAAATCCTTGATATGATCCTTATTATTTACCAATCTGACTCCAAGTTGATCTTTCCATACAAAAGCAAATCGTGTATCTCATTATTAATATGATACATGATAGTTTATAAGTCACAATTTTTTACTGTTAAATAATGGACACGTCAATTATTTTTTAATGAAATGGTCAATTTGAGGTCAAATTGGTAAATAATAAGAATCAAATTAGAGGTCTGTATAATAGTTGAGGGACCAAATTGGGAGTTTAACCAAGAAAATATAAAATTGACATTTTTACTTCATTGTTACTTCATTTTTGCCCTTCACGCACACTAATCAGTAAGGTAATGCATCATTATTACTAATATTTTAAGAGTTTGTCTAACTTGTGCCCTTAAAGATGCAATAAATGCATATTTTTGTAATTAATTCACATTAAAAATTGTAAAAATTGACATATATTTTAACATCACTAACACATGAATAATTTTAATTGATTAATTGATTAAATCAAAATAACATTTATACTTTTAATAAAAACTAATTACAAAAAATATGCATTTCTTGCACCTTATTGTGTGTTTTAAGAGAACAGGATAGAAAAATCCATATTTTAATTATTAAGACATTTCAATTTTTTTAATCTCAAATCGTTAAAGATTTCTTAATTATGAATTGGTGGGGTGGCTAAACCCACTCTCCTCATTTACATGGTAAAAAAATTTTTCTTTCAACTTTTTCCTTTTTTTAAGACCCACTTGATAAAGTTTCTAATATCAATAAAATAAAAAATTAACGATCTTTCATAAAATTCTAAATTTTTCTATTGTTATTCACAACATTTCATGAGAAATTAATTAGTTGGTCTTAAACTAAACAGACCCAAAAGTCTCTCTAAAGAAAGCATGTCAAAAGAAATGTCAATGGTGCTTACTTAAAATTGATAGAACCTACCCTTTTTTTTTTCTTGTATACATGCACATATATATACATATATATATATATATATT